AGCAGGAAGGAGCAGCCTGAGGGAGAGCAGCTTTGGGGCTGGCCTCGGTATCCACCGGGGAGAAGCAGCAAAGAACACAGCACAGCAACGGTGATTCGCAATCATTTTAAATCGCTAGCTGTGAGCTGCAATATTCACTTCTGAAAATAAAGATGCGACAGGTCTCTCCTAGCACAGGAGGGACATCAGCCTGGACACAATTAGAAAAGTAGTCGGACCTCTTCATTGGATATTGTGGGTTTGGTTTTTGCTCCCACAGCTAGCTAGCTACCCAGCAATGACAAGGAAACCAAAACGATCACAACGCATCAGACTTCCTTGAGAAGGGGAGATAATTACCCTCAACATGACTTTTAGAAGCCAAAAAGTTCAAAGCATTTCCCACAGTAGGAGATCCCAACTTGTCCCTGCAGTGCTTCTGCCAAAAGAGTGCTCCTTGCTGCTAAACTGTAATAAGAAATGCAGCAGCAAATGAGTTTTGTCATCTCCCAACAAGCGCGTGTGGATCCAAGCAACAGCCTTTTCCAACACACCAGCAAAACTTTACAGCATTTCTGAACCCAGCTTTTAAAACAGCTGCTTTTCACCCAGGTACTGGTTTTGGTTAAGTGGCAAATAAACTGGAAATTGGTGCTGCGTCTATCTAACATCAAAGACAAACCAGAGTGGTGTTTGCGTCCTAGCACTTCAAAGGGCAGGCTCAGTTCTGCCAGAGATCTCTCACAACAGGCCATAAACAGGTGATTTTTCCCAAGACCAAATGCAGGGATTAAAGAGCAAATATCTGAATTCCAAAACAAAGCATTTAGGCAGTAACTTCCCCAGAGTTTAGACGACTCTTAACTATCCTGAGTTAACTGGAAATTATGTAAATGAAGGTCAGAAAATATCCAAAAATCTGCATTTCCTTTTATACTGCATAGTGTGGATAAATAATTGAAATCACTAGGACACTGTGGATGAAGCAAAAGAAAAGCAGCAAATCTTGACTCACGAAGAAGGATCACCGTTGGATTTGAGCAGAGAATTTCCACTAATCGCTGGTGCTTTCGTTAAGCGTGACAAGGAGAACAACCAAAGGCTTCAAATGCTGCAGCGAGGTTGCACGGGGTAAGTACAGGCACACTTTTACCACCGAACAGCAGGAAGCTGTTACCTAAAGGAGTACTTTAATTCTCTTAATCAAATCTAAAACCTGCTGCAGGGGTACCTGGTATTAGCAGATATCGCTGTTCAGATTCATCCACAGAGCACACGGGTAGGCTGACACAGTCGAAGAGCTGCCAAGCTCACTCTTCCTGCGTGTCAGCCTGGAAAGGAACAAGCACAGTCTACCACCTCCACCATTTTTTTCCTCTTTCTATATATATACAACTGTTGTTCCTTCTAGAGAGCTGATTCTGTGGTAGCAACCAGACAGTTCTGTAGAACACGTCTTGGGTGAGTCACCACAGATATGGTCAAAAATGCTGGATCTTACTAATAGCAACACTGCTAAACGAGCCAGATATTTACATTTATTTATTTATTTATTTATTTTAAGAAACAAGCCATCCAACAATTGCACTTGCATGAGCGAGAATAAAACCATGGCTATAGAACACAAACGTTAGGAGGGTAAATTAACTCACGTTTGTGAAAGTTCAAAATACAGTGGTGAAAGCCATAAAATATAGACAGTAATTTCTACACAGAGAGGAATTTCAAAACAAGTGTCAACATAATGTAAAATAAACAATAATGACAAGTTACTGGTTTAGACATTTTGCTACCACAATATGTTCCCTGTTTGGCCTCAAAGGAACTTTGTGATATATATTTGGCTGAATCCCAAGAAGGCTTGGACTTCCTCAAGCCACACGAGTTTCACATTTGCTCAAAGTGCACTGCAGATTACATCAAGACCAGTTTCCAGCAGAGACAAGTTTAGCAAGGATGCTACTGGATCAGCTCTCTTCTGTTCATGTGCTAAAATAGCTGCACAAGGACCAAAAACACCCTAAATCCCAACCACAGCCAGGATGATATGCAATGCACACGAATGGCTTGTCTGCACTGAGCTTCTAAAAACTTTGTCTCTTTTGGAAGTCAGTGACAACCTATCAGAGTTAGCAATGCCAAGAGCTAAGGCAGTCCCGTCACTCACTGCAACCAGTGTTTCTGAATCCGCACAATTCAAATGCATGCCATGTCCGATAAAAATACTACTGAGGATAAAAGGTTTTCTTGCATTATGGCCCTGGATAAGATCATTATTAGCAAAAATGGAAAATACTCACAAAAACTTCCTCTTATGAGTAACAGGAAAACTGCCTAGACGATGGATAAACAAGCTGCTAGCCACATTAAATCTGCATTTGGCTAAGGAATCTCCACATTCTGGATAGCAGACAACATTTAGAAATGAAGAAAATAATCCAACTGTAAATTAGAAACACTTCTACTAATCATTTCACTTTATGGTTTCATCCCTTTTGACCATCCTGGTACTTTCCACTAACCTGAAGAATGATTTCCTGGATGGAATCAGCACTTAGGACAAAAACAGACTCCAGAAATGTACTGCTGTGTATCAGGTGTAGCTATCACATAGAAACGAAGTTTGGGAAGAACTCAGGCCAGGGTTTGAAACAGATTATTTTGATGAAATCTTCAAAATGAAGTAAAAAGTGATCAGCACTCCCACTCCTCACAGACACCACCACATTCCTCAGCTCTGGAGAAAAAAGTGCTCTAGAAAGTTGCAGAAGTGCAGATTTTAAATGTTTCTCCCTATTTTTCTACTTTCCTCAAACATTACACTTTTGTCTAGGGCTAAAAAAAAAAAGGGGGTGTTTTGCTACTCTGAAGAATATTTGGCAATATAAATTCACTGTAGGGTTTTCTCTGTTTATTCGGTGTTTGCCAAACCAAATAAAACAAAAATGATCAAAAGGAAAAAAAAATGGTAGAACTGTGAAATGTCTTCTCCTTGCTTCCCTGCTCAGGTCAACAAGGTGTTGATATCAACAGTTAGCAGGGGTCATTTAAATGCTAATATTTTTAAGTACAGGCAAAGTACGAAAAACAACTCTAACAAAGGCATATAAAGATGGAAAGAATTCGGGAGGGAACAACTCTCCCCA